CTTTTAGATTCAACATGGTTTTAATATGTCTGTGTAACTTCTTTTCAGCTAATTGAATTGTAATATTAATGTTTTGTTTATCTGATTGAATGTATTCTTATTCACTCAGTGTCAGTAAAACACTTCAACTGAGCAAGATGCATCCTTGTTACATCAACAAGTTTCAGTCTTGTCCATGTATGGTTTTTAAAATCTGTTTTGTTGTTTCAATTATGTCTTAGTTGTCAGCGTTGAAGTTCTTAATTTGCAGCCAGCTTGCTGTGATTTCACCAAATTACCCATAAAGCTTATTTGCCTCAGATCTTCACAATATAACTAATATTATAACTATAATTATAACAAGATTTTAACAAATTATAACAAGAGCATTTGTAAATAACTTTTTTAAAGCTGTAAAGTAGTAACACAAAAAACAATGGTATTAAAAAAAACAAAAAAACAAAAACAGATGTACTGAGCATCAATGATTGCTTTTCTCGGAGCTTACTTCCTCTAGCATCCCATTTAAAGGAACACTATCATAACCACTGGCTAGGAAAGCTTCTGTCCAGCTGCAACTGTACATCTTTATCATTCAATCACTGCATCAGTCTTATTCAAGCTCATAGAGCAGTGTTCATGCCCCAGTAGCTTGTTTGAAGGAAACAGTGCAAATATTAAATTGTCAACATGCGAAAAGAACTCAAAGTGTATTTTTGTTTTTGTCTCTAAGTTACTTGTGCCAAGAATAAGTTGCCATATATTTGTGGAACACCACATCTGCAGAAATCCAAAAGTTCATTCTGTTAAGCTAAGCATGCGCAGTGACTTATTCTTAAGCTGTTTTATTGGTGGGTATGCAAACCAGTGCATACCGCCACCTACTGTGATGGAAGTGCACAGTAACTCACCAGAAATTGTCGTTCATATGAAGAGCTAAAATCTCATCCAGTCAAAAAGTTTTTATCTCATTAATTTGATTATTTCTTCATTTAGTGTCAAACAACTAGAATGAATCATTTAACAGAACTAAACTTGTTCCATTCTTTTCCATAAGACATATTTGTATTTTACAAATCGAGCAAGTAGCTTATTGAATTTTTTTCATGCTAAAACAGCTGTGATATTTTTCTTTCTTTCTTTCTTTCTTTCTTTCTTTCTTTCTTTCTTTCTTTCTTTCTTTCTTTCTTTCATGAATGATATACTAAAATTGTATCAATATTCTGTTGTTGTTTTTTATCCCTCAATATTTTGTTGTTTTGGTTTTTCTTCATTTTTTAAGTGACAGCAAATACATTCATAATGGTTACAAAATCTGTTCAAAATCTGTTCACCAACGATTTCTGGAGTAAAAGCATAGTTTTACACTAAACAGTCTTTCAGTTAAAAATAAAGCTAAAGTAGAACTTCAAATAACAACTGTTAAAGAATACAGCAATATCTGATCAAAGCAGAGCAGCAAATCATTATATTAAAAAGATTTATGTTGGATGAAGTGACATGTTTTGAATGAAATAAACAAAATAAAATGTAAAAATATTCCCTTATGAAATGTGTTGTGCTGGTTTGAGTCCCAGCTGGGTCAGTCGTTCTCTCCGTGGATTTCCTCTGGATGCTCCGGTTTCACCCACAGTCCAAATACATGTGCTGTAGAAGAATTTAATAAACTAAATTTTCTGTAGTATGTCTGTGAAAGAGTGTGTATGGGTGTTTCCTAGTACTGGGTTGCAGCTGAAAAAGCATCCGCTGTGTAAAACATATGCTGGATAAGTTAGCAGTTCATTCCAAGTGGATGCTGCACACTGTTGGTGGTGTGAAGAGACCCCCCTTATGATTGTGAAGTGCTTTGGGTGAATGGCCATATACACAATAAATGCGCTTTATAAATACACATTACATTACATTCCGCTGTGGAGAACCCTCATGAATTATGGAACTATAAAGGAAAATAAAATTAATATATGGTGTTGTTTCAAACTAAATTAAAATTCCACAATATTGCAGTTTTTACTGTATCTTTGAAGCTAATTTAATTTTAAACAATTATTAAACTAGATATTAAGTGCCAGTTTTTACACCTAAATAAAATGAAAATAAACAGTGATAGTATTTTAAATTAATTATTAAAATAAGACTGAAATGGCATATTATCAGTCCCATATCATTTGGTGCAATGTTCTATTCATCTTACAGAAGAATGCAGAAAATCCTTACACTGTAAATCATGTTGCAGCATACATACTTACCTGTGTTTTAACATAGGAACAGGCACAAAGTCACACACAAACATGCACTCTCATATATAAGCAAACAGCTAAAACCCCACAAATGTCCTGAAGTCCCCCACAGTTCTGATGAGATGTCCTTGTATGGATTTCCATCCCTGACATATGAGTAAATACCTCATGCCTATTCAGAAGCGCAGGTTAATCCACTGACATCCAAAGCCCCTGCGATTAATCAGCCACAGTCAATCCATTATTATTCTTGTTTACTCTTTGATGAAAAAAAAGGGAAAAAAATTAAACTGAAGGTCCCACAACGAGCTTAGATGGAATTACATGTGCAAACCAGAAATAAGATTCAGAAATGATTTACAATGAGGGGCCAAAAATACTGTGCATGCATCTAATATTTAGAGAGATTAAATCTTATCAGGCAGAGTTATGTGAAATTAAATATCAGGGCAGATCAGTAAATGGCCTAGTACTTCAAAATAACCCCTGCAAAGGTACACCGGAGTAGTAATATAATCCAGTTCACAAGAACCCAGAATAGGTTTAGCTACATGATGATTATGAGATGGCCGCAAAATGCTTTGCGTTTCATTGAACAGCATCTAGAGTTCATTTCTCTTGGTTGTAAATGAAGTAGAACATAGTGGCTGCCCTTTTCACTCTGACTAATAACATCTAGTAGAGGAAGCGTGAGTTTCTGGCTGATTAGAGGTAGTAATTTATTTATTAGCATTTGCAGGACAAAGTCAATCCATCATAGATAACGCATGCAGGATAAAAGAGAAGACTGATTGATTTTGGCTTAACTCAGCTGATCCGAACAATGAATCAAAGATGCAGTGTGGCACGATACAATGGCTGAGATGTGACCTCTCTTTTCACATTCTTGTGCATCTGATGCTCTTCATTTTACTTCCTCTTTCTGATGATGACCTTATGAGATTTATCTATGCAGTTTTTTTAATTACAGTTTTTATTATTAAGGATAAACAAAATACATAACTACATAGCCCTGTGTGACAAAGTGTTTGTCCCTAAACCTAATAACTGTTGCTACACCCTTAGCATCAACGACTGCAATCAAGTGTTTTTGATAACTTGCAGTTGGTCTGTTGTTGTGCTGTGGATGATTTTGGCTCACTCATCTTTTCTGAATTGTTTAATTCAGCCACATTGGATTATGAGCATGAACCGCCTTTTTAAGATCAATTGGATTCAGGTTAGGACTTTGACTAGGCCACTCCAAAGTCTTCATTTAGTTTTTCTTCAGCTATCCAGAAGTGGACTTGCTGGTGCTTTGAATCATTGTCCTGCTGCAGAACTTCAGCTTGAGGTCACTAAAAAGTTTTTGTCTCTCTACTTTTGTCTCAGTCCATGAAGTATTTTCCCAAAAGTCTTGGTGATCGTCAAGATGTTTTGGCAAAACTGAGACAAGACTTTATGTTATTTTTGCTCAGCAGTGTTTTTTGTCTAAAAACTCTGCCATGCAAACCATCTTTCCCAGTCTCTTTCTTATGGTGAAGTCATGGACACTCATCTTATCTGAGACAAGGATATTTTAGTTATATTATATGGTAATGTCATGTACACACACAATCAATCTTAATGCGGCGACTAGGGAATCTTAATTTTTTTTCCAAAGAGTTGCATTTACAGGATAGTTCACTCAAAATTTGAACAATTATTTAATTATTTACTTTCATTCACTTTAACCCATAATGTTTCAGTCAAGGGGCAGAAAAGTAGCACAGTGGGTAGCACAATCGCCCCACAGCAACAAGGTCACTGGTTCGAGCCTCCGCTGGTTCAGTTAGCATTTTTGTGTGGAGTTTGCATGTTCTCTCCTTGTTGGCGTGTTTCCCCTGGGTGCTCCGGTTTCCCCCTCATGTCCAAAAACATGTGGTATAGGTGAATTGGGTGAGCTAAATTGTCTGTAGTGTATGTGTATGGATTAGTGAATGTGGATGTTTCCCATGATGGTTGCAGCTGAAAGGGTATCTCTTGCGTAACATACAGTATGCTGGATAAGTTGGCTATTCATTCCACTGTGGCGAACCCATTTTAATAAAAGGACTATAAGTGAAAAGAAAATGAATGAATGAATGTTTCATTTAACTGAAAGAAGACAAATCAAGATTTATTGGATGAAACCTCAGAACTTTCTGATCCTCCATACACATCAAGGGTCCTAAAACAATAAAAGTCCAGAAGGGTAACAACAACATATTAATTCGTTCATTTTCTTTTCAGTTTAGTCCCTTTATTAATCTGGGTTCGCCACAGCAGAATGAACTGCCAACTTATCCATATGTTTTACCCAGCAGATGCCCTTCCAGCTGCAACCTAACACTGGGAATCACCCTTACACTCTTGCATTCACACATACAGTACTGCCAATTTAGCTTATTCAATTCACCATGGACTGCATGTCTTTGGACTGTGGGGGAAATCGGAGTACAAGGAGGAAACCCACAACAAAATATTGTAACAATCAAAACATGCCATGCGTGGCATGAGGGTGGAGAGGGTAAGTAATGACAACATTTTTATTTTTGGTATACCATTTTGTCTCTCATTATATCACATGAAGAGGTGGTTGCACCTGGTGGAATTGCTGGAACAAGTTTGATAAAACAGAATTAATGTAAGATTAATTAATGTTTAATTTAACAAGATATTGTGTATCAAATGTGGATTTTTCTTTAGCAATATATTTACTTTCACTTTGTTAATGAGCTCCATCTAGTGGCGGCTTTAATATTATTGCAAGCTGGATCCATTCCTGTTCACGTCGATCAGTGGTGCGTGATCCAAATGTAAGCAGAAAGCGTGACGGCGGCGCTCGTTAATCGTCGTGTTTTTCTGCGATCTTAACTCTTGCATCGCTTGTAAGTGCTTATTTGATTTGTATTAATGTTTATTATGCCTGTATAGTAATATGAATCGACGTTGAGCTTATAAGTGCCCTAAATATCTATTTGCGTGGCTAACGTTAGTGTATTAGCCACATTTTGCTTTAGCTTCAAAGGTCTATTGAAATATTGTTTTCTGTATTATCTCCATGCCTTTTATACATTTATTTTTTGTTAGGCTTCGTTAGTTTTTAATAATTACTTTTTTTATTATTATTAATGTGTCTTTATGTTTGTAGTTTCACTCCATACCATTGGGCCAACAAACTTCTTGTCTTCAGTCATGCAAGGTAGGGAGCTGGTTATCTACTAAAACTATAAGTTACAGTGTTGGACATGGGTGGTATTGTTTAACAACTTTATGATTTTGCCAGTCTGGTTAAAAATACTACCACGTTCAAATAAAGAGTTTGCTAAACAACTGAACAATCCTGCATTTTCAAATGGCAACTGTTCTTACGTGTGGATTGATTGACACCATATTTGACATTATAATATAAATAAACTATGCATACCTAATTTTTGGTCTTCAACGGGAAAGCTATATTCCATATTTTAATTAGACAGTTTTATCTAATTTTAAATTAGAATATTGTATGCAAATAAATGTATACAATATTTACTTAAATTATACCTAAATAAAACTCATATACTTTAGTTAACTAAATCTCAAGTAGATTTAGTCGACTAAAATCTTATGAAATGTAGTAGACTAAAACTAGACTAAAGGGGGTTTGGTGGTGTTTGATGGTGCGTGCTACGTGTCTGAAGAGCGAGGAGGGATGCGGTGGGGAGGGGTGAGAAGGGTGCGCGACGTATTTGAGGACTGGGAGGGAGACGTGTGATTTCCTTGAGATTATCACTCATTTGCAGGAAACTCCCGGGAGACTTGGGATATCTGGAATGACCTCTTACCCTACTCATAATTCTCTTTTTACATAGCTGTATGCATATTAAATATCTAAAAACACTGTGATATAGCCGCGCTCAGATTGTATCGCTTTTTCACTACAATCGATTCGCTCTAGAGTTCGTTTCAATTGAGCCAAGACCACCTCTTTCAGGCGATCTCGTTGGACCGATTGTTTTGGCGCGGATCCGAGCGTGATTGCTGGATTCACATATGCCAAACGAACCGCACTAACTGGACAAATAAGACAGGTTCCGAAACAAGAGTCTAGGTGTAAAAACACCCCAAGACTTAAACTAAATCAAAATTTGCTTTCAAAATGAATACAAACATACAAAAACAACAACATATTACTGAAGATAGTGAAAACAATAAACACCCTTGTTGGTAAGTGTATCTGTGTATTGACATTAATCCACAACTAGTTTAAACAAATATATTATCTATAGCTATTTCACACAGTAATAAAAGCAGAATGACTTTACTGGTGAATTCAAATATGTGCTGTTTACACATAGCAGAAATCCAGCAATGTACTGATGTCACAACTCATTTCCGGGAATAATTGACCACTCATTCAAAAAAAGCCTTAAGAAAAGTATTTATAAATCTCTGAAACCTGCGTTTTACTGTGTGTATGATTGGGTATATTAATTGGATTTAAAAGGAACCATTCAAATGAAAATGTAATCATGCAGCTTTACTCTATATCAGGGGTGCCCTAGCTCGATCCTGGAGGGCTGGTGTCCTGCAGATTTTAGCTTCAACCCAAATTAAACATGTGAATCAGCTAATCAAGCTCTATACTAGAAACTTACAGGTAGGTAGGTGTGTTAAGGCAACTTGGAGCTAAACTATGCAGGACACCGGCCCTTCATGACTGAGTTTGAGCACCCCTGCTGTATATCTTTATTATTCTGCATTCCTTCACTTGAACTACATGTATTGCTAATAGTTAAATGTATTTCTCTGATGGTTTCTATGTTTTTTCTTATTGTTCAAATGGAAATTCCTGCCATACTATACATTACCTTTAATTGTACATATTTTGTCATTAGATTTGGTATTGTACTGACATCTCAGACTGCATGCATATCATCCTACAACAGATCGATGTTTTATTTTTTTTTTTACTTTATTTCAAGCTGTCGACGTCTCCACGCTTAACTGGCTTCTATCCAAGCATTATTATTCCACCGAGACTAAGAGAATCCAGCTTAAAAGCAAATAAAAGTGTTTTTGTTAAAAAAGGCTCAAAGGGCTTTTGAATCGTGAGTTGGACTTGTGAAATTCTGTGAGAAGAGATGCACATCAGTCCAGAGCCTTCTCAAGATTCCAGTCATTTAGCGATTTTTCTCCCCTGTGGTGAATAAAATGGAAAGCTAGGAACCTTCAAAGACACATCTAAAGTGCCAGAATACTGAATTAAAGCTACTTCGAAGTTTTAGAGATGAGTTTGCCCCATGCAACAAAGCCTGATGTGCTGCACTTTGTGTAGGATTTCAAGAATGCATTCTAAACAGAGGGCAGACTCTCGAAAGTTTAAAGTGGCAGCCTTTATTGTTTGTGTGCAGGGGATTTTAGGCGTCCACTTTAGTCATTGTAGAAGCAAACAGTTCCTGCTCAGTCAGTTTCCAACAATTTGATATGCTTGTCAAATGTCTGAATACATTTCAAATGTCTAAATGGGATCTGGAAAAGTTGGCAACCATGTCCTCTTTCCTGAGATCATTCCGGCAGATATACAGGCAATGGTGTGGATCACATACAGGATTAAATAAGTGCACCTCTTATGGAAGGGTGGCCCTCCCTCTGAATCTGTCACCTGCTTGAGTTCTGCATTAGTGGCAAATTGATTTCTTGGTGCAGTGAAGGCAGAGCCTGTGGAGATGCGGGCTCAAACCCAGAGGGGACTGCCATCTGTGGACACTCAATCGATGTGAGATTACACAGTGGAAAGAAAGATTGACAGCATCAGAAATAACGAAATAGGGAAAAGTATGAGGTATGTGATATGGCTTAAATTTTCAGGTGAAAAGTTACTGAGAAGATGTGCCCAACTATGATCCACCGTCCTCTGTTGTGTGCTTTGAGGGCACTTGGATGACAAACATTTCCGTAGTGTGTCAAATAAATCAGTACAGTAAAACTCCACTCACCTGCCCGCTGAAACAATTGGGTTCGAAACCTATAATAGAATACAGGATGTATGACGTGATTTCAGCAGGCGGGACATAGTGGAATAACTTTCTGTTTAAATGACCTTCACAAGGGTAGAGGATTTTGCTAATTACTATATACTGGTTCTACTGACCTTCTTTTGGCAAAGAAAAGAATTAAAAGGAGAGATGTGGGCCCTTAAAGCCCAATTTTAGCACATTGAAGGTCAGTACAAAGTTGCTGTGTCCCCTCCCAAGACTATCAATAATTTATACATTTGTAAAGGTACATCTCGGTTCCGCACCAATTTAGAGTTGGATCTATTCACATGAGGCATGCATATATATCCAGCCTTGAGGGAAGAACATATTTAACCCTTGGCTTAACAAGAGAGAATACTTTGCAAGTGAGTAACAGCCACTGATATTTTTGACATATAACTATATAGATAGATATCAAATATATGCAAAAACGTCTACATTTAAAAGAAGGAAACAATACGATTTTATGGATATATTACACAATATGAGGAATTTAATTTTAATCCAAAAAATAAAAAGAAACTTTGCATTGTTTTTTTTTTTATCAAAAGTAGTGCAAACTTGTTTTAAAGGTTCATAAAACACCAAAACACATTTTTTTGAGATGTTGGCAGTCCTATATATGTCCCATGTTGCTAAAAAACTATTAGGACACACACACACGTATATATATATATATATATATATATATATATATATATATATATATATATATATATATATATATATATATATATATCTATCTAGAGATATATGTATGTATATAGAGATGTATAGAGCTATATAGATCTACATGTATATATAGATATACAGATGCATCGACACAGCGATGTGGACATAGAGATATATCCAGCGAGGTGTCTATATGTGTATCTATGTGTCGACATAGATATATCTGCACATCTGTACATATGTACATGTGTAGGTCTAGATACATACCTATCTGCGTGTATATATGTGTACGTGTAGCTACATCTATATATATCTATATATAGCTACATACACATATATCGAGATACAGAGA